CATCTGTACGAGCAGTAAATACATATGTCTGGCACCAGCAGTAATTCCTCAGCCTGGAAGAACAAAACAACACACGCCCCACATCTACTTTTCAGATGCCCAAAAAGAACAAGACTGTAATCCAGATCAAAATTCTTGTTCTCTGAGAGTGAAAGAAAAAGCGCCAGGCTGTGATCTCAGTCACACTGGGTACATCTGAAACAGCTTCCCTGAAGGTTGTGCTCTTTCAGCTGAGTAGTATAACCAAGAGCAGGCTCAGGACTGGGCTTCAGTGTCTGTTGGAAAGCTTTGCTTTTGTCCCAGGAGGAGCACTTTGCAAAATCATCAGAGTCTTTTGTGATGGCTTTTCTGATCTAGTAACACCAGACATCACTGGAGAATGAGGAATCGATGTATGATGTTTTCTTGGGGTTATGAGCCTTTGTGTTCACTGACCTGTCTCATATTTCCTGCTCTTCTTCCATTTCTCGATGCTGTCCCATGGTGTTTGCTCTTGGTGGTAACGTACGCTTCCCCCCACAGCTTTCCACTCCAGCAGAGGCTGTTGTCTGCTGACAGCTGTCACCTCTTCCCAGCATCCCTTGTGTGCTGACACCTTGTCGTTGGGAGCCCTAGGGAAGGCAAAAGATACTGTTGAACCTTTGAGTTTCTGCCAAAATGCCTTTTAAGGAATGAATGGTTGGGGTTTTTTCTTTTTCACCTGACTGCCAGCCTTGGGAGAGGTCTTCAGCAGCTGCCTGGGCAATGATGTTGGTCACAGTAATATTGATAATATAGTTGCAGCTCTTCTCCACGTGCTTTTCTTTCATCTAATTAACCTTATTCCAGTACATACCATCTATCCAAAGGAGCTTTTGCAGGGCTGTGGCATAGATAGATCCTTCTGTGATACAAGGAGGTGAACATCCAGCTCTGTTTTCTACTGTTATTAGGACAGTATCTGCATGTCACATCTTCCACTATTTTATTTTCATGTTTTACTATCACCCAGTTGGCTGATTTTAAAATAATTTATTCTACCTCACTAATACTTTGGCTTGACCCTCTGTTCCTGAGTGCAGTGGGACAGCAAGGGGGCTGTTCCACCTGTGTGTCTGACAGTACTCCAGAAGAAAGTCAGACTCTTCCAAGGAGGTAGGATTTCTCAGGAATTATAAATCATAGTGTTTCTTAATAAGTAGTAGCAAAACCTGGGGCAAATTCTGGGCTGCCTTATTCCTGAGCAGGCCAACAAAGTCTTCGGAAGTCCTCAAAGCAAATGTTATTGCAGCTTTCAGTCCAACAGTCCAAAGTTTTCTACTTCCCCAACTGCCAAACCAGGAAACCAAAAAAGCAATATAGTTTGAAAAGGCATTTTATATTTTACTCCAATTAGATTTCAATTCAGAATCCAATAATTTGTCCTATTAATATACTATATTTTCATTCGTATTATTGCCACAGTGTTTGATTTATTTGATTTTCAATTTTGGTTTAGAGGTTCTTGTGAAATAAAATAGAAAAATGGCTGTATATTCCTTCCAGAAGGAAATATGAATGGCCGTATTGTTGAAGATAAGTTTTTTTCAATACTAGGATTAATATATTGGTCATGTGCTGCTATGAATTTAATAGTATTCAGATTCATAAAGGCATATCTGGATTACTGAAGGAGGAGGAGAATCGCTTGATTTCTATTCCCATTCTGAAACTTTGGCCACTCTTAAGCAGTGAAGCAGAACAAATTACAATAAAATTGTAGAGTCTCCTCAGAAGCAAAGCCAGAGGGTCAGTATTTCATGATGCCTATATAAGTACCTGATGCTTTTTGAGAATGACTGAGCTGCTAAAAAATATGAATGCTGGAAAGTGCAACTATTACAATTCTCCTTGGGTTTTATCTTTTTACTTCTTGAAGAACTGCATGATTGTTACTTTACAAGAATAGTGAGTTTCACCATGCATTTTTCCAAGATACTTAGTTCTTTGTGAGATTTCTGAGACAAAGATTTTCCCACTGGTTTGTATGTAATAATTGTGTTGGTTTTTTAAAATTATTTCTGGAGGTCACAGTATTGTAACTTGGGACCATGGTAAAGGATGGATGCTTAGATTTTTTTTGGCAGCTTTTTGTAATAGCTGAAGCTGGTGCAAACAGGCACTTCTAGTGAGTGGAAGCTACAGCAGTAGGCTTGCAACTTTTTAAAAGAGCACATGGATACATAAAGTAACTTTGGGGACTGGTAGAATTCAGTGACAAAACTGTCCTTGGCTTTAAAGGAGCCCGGAACAGCCTGTAACAAGGAAGCCTGTGGCTGGAGTTCAGGGTGAGCTGTCTGGTACAGGCTGTGGCCCTGCAGCCTCATCCAGTCCACACACCTGGAGGTTGTCCAGGACTGAAGGGTGGGAGACATGTTGAATCTGTTGATGTCTTAAGAGATCAGGATTTTCCAGTGATATAGACGAGTGCCCAAGAGCAGGAAAGCACCCAGAGATACCACACCATAGATCTAGCCTCAAAATCTCTCAAGTGAATTCGCCTTCAGCTTTAACAGGCCTTGTTAAATTGCATTTGGGATAAGAGTTTCTGGAGTGAGTTTGCTGCTTTGTGCTTTAGCTGAAAGCTCCTCTTGTAAATGCTGACTTAAGGTTCTTTCAAAATGATCAAATACTACTATTTCCTCCTCTCATAGCAGAAGACTTAAAATATGACTCATCTTTTCATCTTGATATGCAGAAAACAAAGTGTTGGCATGGGGAGAATGAGCCCAAAATAAACTGAGTACCATGCAAAAATCACTCCTGCTAAATTTAATTGCTTTTATGTATGAATCACACTAATACTACCCTATCTTTCTTTTCTGTACATGGCACTTCACTGATGAAATATTTCAGTATGTAATGAAATGGAGCGTAACAGACCTCTTTCTAGTGAAATGTTGGAACGCTATCAGTTCTGTAAGATGCTGCACTAACTGCTACAGTATTCAGTGGGACCCTGGATTGATCCATCTCTATCATTACATACTTGATTTCAGAGTTATATTAAATCATGCAGCAGCCAGGTGACTGCTGCTTCAGCTGAGCACTCTGGAGTCAGTTTGTTAACGGCGTTAGAAAGTGGATAGATTCCAGGCCACTCTTTCTGGTTTACTATAAGGATTGCTCTGTCAATATGATGAATATAAACAAGTAGCCTTGGAAGAGAATGAAAATTACTTACTCTTCTCTGCCAGCTACAGTTTTGGTCTTCTAACCTGTCACAGCAAACTGTGTAGTTTGTAAAGTTATGTGTTTGGCATCTGAGCGCTGATCCAGGGCTCACTGTATTTTTGGGGGAACCCTGTTTCATGTAAACATGGTTTTAAGTAAAATCAAAGTGACAGGCTTAAGGCACCACTTCTAAGTTCTGGGTGGGACTCTGAACTGAAGTTTTGGGTTTGCTTTAAGCAGATAGCATTTGTTTTTCTCATAATCGCCCCAGAAGAGATTATTGATCCAGAATAATTAGCCAAATATTTCTGTGTGATTTATACAGCCTTAGCTACAATAGACAGATGACAATATTACAGCCAAAATCCAACACTGAGGTCTACAGTTTGGCTCTCTATTAGGTGGGGTAGCATGTATTGATAAAACATGTGTTAACTTGTTTTGCTTTTAACATAAATTAAATGGTATGATCATTCCCAGGTCAGAGTATGACTGCAGTAGTCTCCGGCTCCCTCTGCGTGCACTTTCACAACACAAAGATCTGAGCGGGCTATAGACTCTCCCGACATTCTTTACATTCTCCTTTGCAAGTAGTGCTACCCTGCCTCCTTGCAGAGGTCGTGTCAAAATACACTTCTTCTTGCAAGGAGTAAATAGCACTTTTAAGACCTCATTTATCATTAAATAAATATTGTATGTCAAAATACACTTCTTGCAAGGAGTAAATAGCACTTTTAAGACCTCATTTATCATTAAATAAATATTGTTAGAGTGTATGTAGCTTGCCTCTGCTCTTGCTCGTAGTAAGGTTGTGGTAAGGTCACTCTGTCAGTGTCTCTATTTCCTATTTTATGTGTTTTTACTGTACAGTAGAATCAAAGCCAGCATTTTCTCAGGTACACTTTCATGCAAAGTCACTGCAAGTACGCAGGATCCCATTTGACGGTTTGATTAGCACTGCTGACGCAGAGGACTGTACGGTGCCCTTTTGTTTCTTTGCTGCTGAAAGCACTGTGAAATCCTTGTGTTTGAGCCTGACTTTGTGGTGACCCTGTATGCTAGAAGGATACTAACGTGTATCTGTTTTGCAATGTCAAACCCTAGAAAATGCTCTGCAGCTGAGAAGGATGACAAGCAAGTCTCTTGTTTAGTAGTCATTGTATGAGGAATCTGCATCTTCACAGCTTTTTAGGTTTCCACAACCAGAAAGAGTTCATAAAAGCTGCTGTGCTGCAGAGCAAGTGATTGATTTCTGCAGAGACTCAAAAGCACATTGTATTCTGTGTAAGACTTTCCTGATACCCACGAGCTGTCAGACTTAGAGTACTAATAAAGCACGAAGGAGAATTTGGGCTTTTATATAAACAAATTCATAATGGATTTTTCTGTTCAACAGCCTTATTGTAGCCTACATAAATGTCAATGGCAAATTACCGAACACTAGCTGTTAGTTCTCATTTAGGATGTTAGTAGTATATCAAAGATTCTTATTGAAAGTTCAGAGCATTATCTTTAAAAAAAAAAAAGAAAGAAAAAAGAAATATTAGTATAAAATAATGAGTATTTTGGGACATCTTAATTAAAACCTTTTTAATAATGAGGGTTTCCTAACACTTGGGAAGGGTGGGAAGCCTGAACCTGCCTCTTGTCTGAGGTTCCTGCTCTGCTCAGTGATAGTTTCATGGACTCTGTTCATGTTTCGCTTTTGTTTGCCATTTTCGTTGGGCATACGTACAACTCATGGAAACTCTGCAGGTTATATTTGTTTATTTGCATTGTTTTCAAGAGAGACTAATAGATTCATTTGTATGCAGGTATCAAACTGGTTTGCCAATGCAAGACGTCGCCTTAAGAATACTGTCAGGCAACCAGATCTTAGCTGGGCTTTACGAATAAAACTGTACAACAAATATGTTCAAGGAAATGCTGAACGACTCAGTGTAAGCAGCGATGACTCATGCTCTGAAGGTTTGTTGATGCTCTTTTTATCAATTTTAAACCAATTAAAATATATTTGGAAAGTATCAGATACCCTAAATAGCTCTGATTTATTACAAAATGCCCTCAGGGCAGCTGCCTTTACTTTTTATGAATTTGGTGCCAGTTTTGGCTCCCAGCTACTATGCAACCTCACAAAACAGGATTTTGTAGGTTAATTGGGGTGGCAGTCTGGTTGCATGTGATTTGCCTGTTTTGTACAGAATTGTTACTAGAAAAATAATTGTTAGTTCATTCGATTCTACAAACTTATAGCTTTAATTTGCATTAAATGAAAAAAATTGGTTACATTTGTTGTTTTAAGGAAATGAGAAGTCTCTTGAGTTACTTTGCTTGATGGAAGGACTATAGCAATATCACATCATTAACAAGAGAATCCGATTAACGAGATAACCTGATTAACTTCAGTGGGACTTATTATATGCTATCTGAATATTACTGTATTTATTTTGTGTATTTTACTAGCAAATGTTTCCTTAAAAGGTGCACTGAAATTCTCTTCCTTATCCAAATTGATGAATGTAGGATTTTTTTTAATAGCACTCTATATTTTTTAATAGAACATCTGTATCAATTATGTCTGTGGGTGGTTTTTTCACTAAGCTGTGACGTGGAGATACATTGACAGGAACAAATGCTACAGAACATTGTCAGAAACGTAGCTGAATTTTCAGAAGAACGTGTTTCAATTTGTACTCAGTTTCAATTCTCTTTGTTCCAGTTTCAGTTTGTATTCACATTTCTTTGGTTTGCACTTCCCTTTAAAAGATTGGTTGCAGGACAATTAAAAGAGTATAGTTTCAGCAAATATGCTTAAATATGTTGTAGTACTCAGGAGAAGCAAATTTCAAGTTGTGATAGTAAGAATTCAGCTTATTCACAGGGATTTTGAAGTATTTATTATTGATTTAGGGCACTTCTCAATTTTCTTTCTACCTGCCTTGTGTTGCTCATGAACAAATTAGACCCAGACACTGTTTTCTACAGTTAATTAATTTGGGATAGCTGGAACATCTGAGAACCCTGGGAACTACTGTGAGCAATGTGTGAACAGAAGAAAATGAAAATAATTGTCTAATGCTGAAGTCTGAAGTTATTTGTCTAGTTTTAGTTACATGTATAATAATTTAAAACATGTAGAGAAAGCCTCTTGTTAAATATTAGGTATTCAGTACATTACTATGTCTTTTCTGCCTTTATTTTCAGATGGAGAAAATCCTCCAAGAAATCATATGAGCGAAGGGGGATATAACAAACCAGTTCACCACACTGTGATTAAAACTGAAAGTTCAGTAATAAAAACAGGAGTGAGACCAGAAACAAGTGCCAATGAGGATTACGTGTCACCCCCCAAATACAAAAGCAGCTTATTGAATCGTTACCTAAATGACTCATTGAGACATGTCATGGCTACTAATGCAGCTATGATGGAAAAAACAAGGCAAAGGAATCACTCTGGTTCATTTAGTTCCAATGAATTTGAGGAGGAATTGGTGTCTCCATCATCATCAGAGACAGAAGGCAATTTTGTCTACCGGACAGGTAAGGGATTCTTTCTGCATCATTTCTAATACTGCTGGCTTTGGTGGATGGTGTCACCTGGAAGGAGTGTCACCTGATTGTGCCTTTTATGAGACTGGATATCCTGTCCATCCTCTCATGTGAGAATAGATCACTCCTGTCCATCCTCTCATTCACTGGAGAAGTTCTGTCAGCAGTACTGAAGTTAAATGCTGTTATTGACTGCTACTGAAGCTGCTTTGCTTTTTGAATGGAGCTATGGGGCTGATTTTTTCAGTGACACTTACAGGCTGCTTTTCTCAGCACTAAGACAAGCCTGAAAAAGGATAGAAGTCTTGAGCATTCTGTTACAATAAGGGAGGACTAGAGAAGGACTAAAGTACTCCATGGCCCCAGCTGGGAGGAAGAGGAGGGCTTTGAATTTTCAAGGTGACTGTTTGTGGCACTTACATGAGCCATAAGTCCCCCAGTGCAGCGCACATGAACATCTTCCCCTGTTGTATGGCATCTTTTCTGGTACATGGCCCTTTGGTGCTCATGCATCTCTTAGGAATACATGGGTTAGTTTAGACTAATTTCTGCATCAGACTCCAGATACAGTGCACTGAACTAAGGGGCCACAGACTTGGTCATTAAATATCTTGGCTTAATGTTTTTGGAAGGGTTACACATAATTTGTTATTTTAATCTTATCAATAAAAACATAAAAGCATGATTTCTATCATTTGTTTTGTTACCAGTTAGAGGAAGGCACATGGGACTACCTGGTTCATGCCAGTAAATTGCTGTAAATCAGGGCAAGATCAGGACTTACTCAGGTCCCCGTGGGGTAGGGAGTGCTGGAAGGCTCCTCTTGTGAAGCTTGTTCTGCATTTCTTTGGGGACGTAAGGCAAAGGCTCTCCCCTTATCTTTGAAAAAAGTGAAGTTTTGCATCTGAAGCTCTGGAAATCTTTGCCAGCATCTCAGGATTTCCACCCATCATAGCAGCCCTTTGCATTGTCCCGAGGCCTTTCTCGGAGGGCTGTTCAGCCAGGGACCACCCTGCAGGCAGCATCACTTGTGGGGTGTCCCTTGCTGTTACAACCTCTCATGTTTGCAGCCTTTGCCCTCTCTTTCCTGGCACATTTCATGTGATATTTTTTTTTTGTCCCTGGTGGGGCCACAGGGATTTCAGGAGGCTGTATGCTCTGGTGGGGGTAGGACCACGTTGGCGCTTGCAGGTTGTCAGGGGATGGCCAAGGTGGGGGCGGGGGGAGCATAGAGAAACAGGATCTCATGAGGAGCAAGAATAGTGCATGCATGAAGAATAAGTTTCAAAATTAACTCTCTCTGTTCGTTTAGATTTTTTTTTCAACATACCAAATGCATTTGGTCCTCATTATGAGCGTATTGTCTGCCAAGTTTTATTTTTAAGTGAAAAGTTACTTAAGAACAGATGCAGCAGCTCAGATATGTAAACTTCTGTTTTTCTGTACTTTTATACCATAACTTAAAAATGGACACAATGACTTTTTAAAAATTGTAATAAATTTGCTACTGAATTAAGTTCTTCTTGCCAAGTTTGAAGCTGCACTGAGAAGTATGATCTTTAATGAGAAGGCCGAGACAGGCACACTGTAACTGTGTGAGTTCACGAGCTGGGCTGGAATGACTGAAAACCAGTATATTTGTCCTTAAAGTTCATAACTGACGTTCCTGGAACTTCTCTTGAGATCATATTTAAGTGCGTTCTTAAATATCCTTGTTAACGTTTTGAAGTGCTGTGGCCTTTGATGAGAACACACCAACAGCTCTTAGGATTTAGGTTTTTTTATTGTTTTACACTTCTGAAGCAGACAAGCAGTAGCCTGCTGATAGAAAGAAAAAGATTGTGTGCACACACTGTATTATTTGGTATATCCTTCCTATATATATGAGCACATTCAGGAAATAATAGGTACAAATTGGCTTTTTTCATCTACAAGATCACAGTCCCATTAATGATTTTCTGATGATGTTATAACATGCAGGAATTGAGCCCTTCACGAACAAAGCAGATATTTTCAAGTTATCATCCATTCATGAAATCTGTTTACAAATTGATTAAATTATCCAAATTATTGTTAGATAGGAAGAGATAAATAAGGATGTTTTCTTTTTTTATGTCTTTCTCTGTAATTTGACTGCCTGGGATGGCAGTTCTCAGTGCAGTTATGTAGCAGACCTGTATCTGTGTTCTCAAAATTAGTTGCAACCCATTTTGGCTAATCAAAATAGTAGTGTATAGCTGACTGTACCACTTCCTGAAGGCAGCAAGTGTATTTTTAAGTGAGATATAACCACTTATAAGGAGCTCCCCACTGCAATTTTTTGTTAAGTGAAACATCTAATTTTTAACACCAAGGGGTTGAAGCAGAACTGTGAAGTCCCTACTAGATGTTTTAGTTTATGCAGATGTTTTGAGGAGTATGTGAAAAAGCACAGAGTGAGAACTGATTGACATTTTATTTTTCAGAAAGGTTTGGCAAGGTCACTGTGCTTATAAGAGCAGGCAGTCATTGGTGTTGAAGCAAATACTTTATTGTACTTCCCCGGAAAAGCAACTTTTTGTAGCATATAATGAGCAGAAAACTTACTCACTGCTTCTGGTTCACGTTATGGTCTGGACCCTGATTTCAGGCACATCAGTTTGTCCAGGGTGACTCTGCTTGCGCAGTGCTCGAGGTCAGTGTGACCACGTGCATCTCAACAGCCTGCGCCAAATTAACAGGGTCGAGTGCAGTGTCCAATGACAAAAACAATAAATTACAGTTTAAAGTTTATAAGGAAAAAGGGTTGTACAGTTTCCCATTTCAGTCATTAATATGCTTACAAACATTGGACCATATGCTACTCTAGCTTAATGCAACTGGGAAATCCCGTGTAAAAGATCAAGGACAGGCTGTATAACCGACTGTTGGGAGAGCAGCTTCGCTTTATACCTCTGCACGATTATTGCGAGCTGGTGGGAAGAGGCTTTAGCACTGGGGCAGGAGCAGCGAGCAGCGGGCTGGGTCCCTCACCAGCACGGTGCCCCTTGGCTCCGTCCCGCTGTGGCTGCGTGGCCTGGGGAGCTGCACGGGAGGCAATGCGGGTGGCTGGCGTGGGGAGAGCGGAGCAGCCAGGGAAGAGTGCAGCCGCGCTCGGATATGTCCCATATGTAAGCATTTCTGTCGTAAGCCGATATGCTCATGTATATAACGTGACATACGTGAATGTGTTCACTTAAGGCAGAAAATTTCAGTGCAGATTAATCCTAGTGCAGGTATAATATATAAATATATATAATTGGTCAAATATGTTTTTGAAACTGTCCGCTGAAAGGGTTGGTTCAGTGTTTTTGTTTAGTTAAAAATCCATGTTGGAGAACAAGTTTTCATTAGCTCCTTGGCATGCTGTCATTCCCAGCAGGTTCGCTGTGTGACAGGAATAACTAAAACCAGACTTGCCTATCTATATTTGTTGTACAAACGCACGCAGAAACAACAGTCCAACTGCAACTAGCACTCCAGAAATCTGTAAGGAAAAGATCTAATAATGTTTATAGTGAGGTTGGACATAAATCTAAAGTGGCAATGTCAGTCTTTGGTTTACGGATCACTAAAACACTGACTTTGTAATCACACTGCATTGCTCTGCGAGTACCGTGTCGCCAGTCACCTGCGGGAACAAAATGTTCTGCATCGTTATAGAGCAAGGAAATGAAAAATCTCAGCTTTCTGGGATATCGCTGTCTGGTGAGCTGTGTTTGGTGAACAAAAGCAAAAATTAAAATGAGAGAAAGAGAGATGAAATGGAAGGTCAGGGAGTTGTTTTGTTTTGTTGTTTTGTTTTTTCTGTAGGCAGATTTTCATTGATTTCACTTTATATGCTACTTAGCACAGTAGAAATAAAAGCCAGAACAAATAAAAATAGTGAGGAAACTAAAGACTTGCAGGCCTGGAAAGGAGGATGACTGGTGGAATGACTGGTTGATTTTTGAAGGTGTTTGATCTCTATTTTTAGACATTTATACTCAGGAGTGTGTTTGGTTTCTGATGTTTCCATTACTGCTGCCTTTTTCTTTCCTCTCACCTTCCTTTCTTTCTTTCATTTGAATGTTGCAAAGTTTGTGATATATATAAAGCACGATACTGTGTCATTTATTGCAGCACACTGAGCACCTCTGGTGAGACTCTCAGCACACTGCAGCATCGGCCCCACATTCGTATAGAGCACTTAAATGTAAGGGTATAGCCATGCACATAAGTGCTGTACAGAGACACACGCAAGCTGCAGAACAGTGCTGTGATTTTGTGTGGTCCTTGCCAACTTTTCCTCGCAATTTAACATTTTTAGAAATTAACATGTAATTTAAAAATGAGCTATAAAATTTAAAAGCATAATATGAACACAATGGAACCTGTTTTCAGAAACAACTCGAGGGACCTGCAAAAACCACTAGTACCAGTGACTTTTGCAAGTTTGATCTAAACGGTGCTGGAAACCTTGGGGATACTTTAAAATAAATGGTAACCTGGGAGAGCTGAAGGAGGTCCTTGTTGCAGATCCTAATGTCATCCAGAAGTGAAATGGAAAAGGGGAATGTCAAGTACAGTATTAAATGCACACAGCAGCATAACTGCAATTTGAAGGTTACACAGTTAAGATCATATTTCTGCAGGAATTTTATTATTATATGACCTGATTCATCAACACTGAAATAGCATGGCATTGAGAACTGAGAGGAGGATTGCATTTAATTTGCTGTTCTGTTGTTTTTTCTAAAGAAAGATTAAAAGGAAATGGCTTTACTACAGGGACAGCGTCAGGTTTAATATACCAGATGTGATAGCGCAAACTTGAGAATTTTAAAGATCCTGCCCACTCCCCGCTAGTTAAGCTGGTTGTTCACTTTTTGCATTTCTTTCAGTTCAAGCAGTGAAAATAAAATAAGCTGTTTTTTCTTTCTAATTCAGTTGCTCGGTTTCTCGGTATTTGAGCTGCAAGGGGAATGGGTCCC